ATGCATATGGACATGGTTATGTGGCTATGCAAGTTCGTCTGGATAGACCCTAAATCATGAATCGAGGAGGTAGACCGTTGCATAAATACTGGGAAGAAGAAAACCATGAAAAACGATACGAAGGCAAAAAACTTTTTGCTTATTGCATGATTTGCAAAAAAACAATTCGTCATACAGCTGAAACCAGATTAAGAGACCATAGGTAAATAAAATGCAATGAACATTGGAACACTTAACTTTGTTTTGTTAGTTGTACTTGTAATTTTGTTTTGAATTGATTTTCTGTTATAGAAGATCTTGTCAAGAGCCACTAATTGATGATGAAGAATTTGAAGAGGTTATTATCAATATCAATCGCGATGAAAGCGATACAAATACGACTATACATTCTGATCTTGATTCCGTACGTACTAAAAATATTAATCAATAAATAAAAAATGTTCCAACAGTTTCAATAACATGTATTTATATCATTTCTCAGATTATGTTGAATGTAACAAATGAAGAAAACTTAGAAAACACAGATGCTTCAGCCACTTCATCGTCAAATGCTATTCAAATTCAGCTACCGAAACGTTCAGTTCTGAGGCCCATTGATAATAACGGCCAAAATAAGAAAGCTTTGTCCAACAAAAAAAGAAAACAAATTGACGAATTTATTGACAAGATATCTTGTGCAGAAAAAGCAGCTATTGACAATAGTCTTATAACATTTTTATGCGGATGTAACATTCCATTCGATATTTTGAATTCCACTCATTTCAAGAAGTTCGTGAAATTACTGAGACCAGCTTACGAACATCCATCTAAAAGTACGGTTAACACTCTCTTAAATTCTGTGTATGACCAATTAACGACAGATTCTTCAACGTATGAACAATCAGAGGGAATATTGATGATTTCATCTAGCATGCTGAGCCAAGGGGTTGATTCAAAACACATCGTTGGAATTGTACACACAAAATCAAGAGGAAATTTGTTTCTTAAAATTTGGTCAATTCCGATCAATGCAAATAATGTGACGGAAATTGTTGATGATGCAGTGCAAATATCCAAAGAGAAATACAAAGTGGATATTTATGCGGTTATCGCAGACGATGATTTATGTATGTCTACAAATCGCGATAATAATCCTTGGTTTTTTAAATGCCAAGCGACAGTTACTATGAAAATAGTAAGTTTATTTAAAACTATTCCGTTTATCTCAAAAGTTCGAAGTGTATTGAATGGTTTTCAAACTCCTCGATTAAAAGAAGAGATTATAAATCGTGGCGGAGTCGAATTTGAAGTAGTAACTGATGAGGCATCCATTTTCTCAATTAAAGATATGTTTATTAATTGCTTGAAGAATCAACTTATCTTTGAACAAATTCTTACTGAACATGTATTTCGAATACCAAACGATGTTATTACGATTTTGTTTGATACGGATACTGTGTTGCCTTCGTCCAACGCCACTTCTTTTGAAAAAGAATTAAAAAAATTTATTTCTTTGTGTGAATATATTTGTTCACTTATTTCCAAATGTCAACGTCCATGTTCAACTATGTGTGATATCATTGAACAATGGTTAGAAATTGAATCAATTGTTGCGGGAGACAACAGTATGACTGAAATTCATAATGAGATATGTGCCATTCTATCACCGATATCAATAGTCGCGAATTGTTTGCATCCGGTTTATAGAGGACTTAAATTTGAACATAATCCGGAACGAAATTTGGAAATCCTTGAATATCTCTTGACGGTCCTGGATGATCGAGGATTGGATGATTTTTACGAATACTCACAAAAAAGGGGACTTTTTGAGAAAATTGAAAAACATAAAATTGAAGACCCCGAAAAATATTGGAATTTTGCAGGTAGAAAGCATCCAAGTCTGGCGAATTTTGCTAAAAAATTAACACAAATACCAGCTTTAGTTGCCCAGGTGAAATTTCAGACCATTTGTTGCGACAATATTTCTCCCGATAATAATAAAAAAATCATTGAACTTTATTATAGATTAAAGCTTCAAGACGAAAATATAACAGACAAGTACTAAAAAAGGTTAAAAAATAACAGGATTTAAAAGTATTAAATTTACTGTTTAATAATTTTCTTTTGTACTGGCAAAAATGCAATATCTAATATGTTTAAGAAAGCTGTGATTATAAAATTAGTCTGAACTAATTTATATTCTTACTGTTTTTGTTCTTTCTTTTAAAGAATGTTTTGTACTTACTGGCAAAAATGCAATATGTAATATGTTTAAGAAAGTTGTGATTATAAAATTAGTCTGAACTAATTTATTCTAATTGTTTTTGTCGTTTGTAAGGAAACTCTTGAGTTATTAAAGAAATTTATAAAAAATTAAAACCGCATACTTTTTATGTACAAAACATCAAGTTTATTATTAATTTACAGTAACTTATTTAATATGTTTATATACATCTTATAAAAACGTGTATAAAAATTAAATTATTTATATTAATTAGTATTGAATTCATTATCACACACAATATATTCATCGCATTTATCTATCATCTTTAATGAATAATATATTTCTACTAACTTTTGGGATCGCTCAGCGGTTAACCGATTTCGTATATCAGAATGAACAAAAGACCAATGTGAAAATAAACGCTCAATTTGAGCCGAAGAGGCTGGGATTTTCATTAATTTATCCGCTAATTCTGAAAGATCAGGGTACTGTTTGCCAGCCATAAACCAGTACGTATGAGGGGACTTAAGGGGTGGGGTATAGTTTATTCGGCGAAAAAAAGGCATGTTTTTAAGATTTTTTTTGACGTAACGGATAGTGTTCGTTTATTGAAAAATTTACATATAATAAAGTAACATTTGTACAACATTCTCCTAAATTTTTATTGCAAAATATTCAAAATTGAGCGAGTGAAAATTAAACCCCGGAGGCGCCTCGAAAAAGCGGTGTGCACCATAACTCGCAACAGAATCATCTGAAACAAAAAAATCAAAATGCATTTGTTAAAGGAGATGTATCCTCCTGCAACTCATTCACGCGTCTCCTAACCCCGGCCCGCCCTGGCCCGCCCCGGCCCGCTCGGGCGACGGCGACGCTAACCTCCGAGCCTCCGAGACCCGCGCCAATTACGAGCGCGTCAACTACGCAACCCGTCCGTGGCGCCCGTGCCGATTGTCCCGAAGCGACTTGGCTGACTTGGCTTTGGTTTTGGCTCCTGCCCCGCTTGCCCAAGATGTGATTCCGTCTTCCATCGGGTGGCCGAGCCGCGATCGGATCGCATCGTCGTCACGCCGACGGAGACCTTGATCTTGCCGAGCTCTCGACGACGACGGCGACGGCGACGCGCAGCCACCGACTTCACGTTCACCGGTGACACCGGTCTTCGGTCTTCACCGCTTCACCCCGAGTCTGTCACTTAAGATATTTAGTATCCAAGATCTTAAATATACCTGTACCATTAAGAAAAGTCTGTATGCCAAGATGATCACATAGATTTTCCACTTTCAACTCTTTGATAAAGAAATTATAGACTTCACATCGATACTTCTCTATAAGCATAAATCGTCTACCTTTATAAGTAGGATGTAGAAAGTTGGCAGCCAAAATTGATGGCCTTATGACTTTTTTTAATCTCTCTTCCATTATTTTCTCGTAATTATCATTAACTGTTGGTATAGTTAATTTGAACCACTCTTCGCAAGCATCTGCAATATTACTATCGGACCGCTGGCATTTATTAATAAATTTACACACAGGATCAAAAATCAATATATCGTCTTGAAGTATTGTTTCAAGGTCCTCACTAAATAATAATTCCGAACGCTCAGTCCTAATAGTAATCTTCTGATCTTTTATTATTTGACGCATTATCGATAAATTGTGTAGGCAACAGCGAAATGCATCCCTGTAGCTGCACCATCGTGTTTCGCACGCAAGAACAATTTTTTGTCTTTTAATGATTTCTTTTTCTGGACCTGGCTGCTTGAATTCTCTCAATAATTGATTCACAGATTCAGCAAATCTTTTGTTGACCAAAGACTTTGCTAATAAATTGCCGCTATGACTTGCACAAGTCACATGCCATAAATTAACTGATTTACCCATCAGTATCATTGCAGAAGCATTGTCTGATACGACGGCATAAATACGGATGTTAAATTTGTTTTTAGCGATCTCTGTTGCTTCAGTCACAATTTCTGTTAATGCATTTCCTGTTTCCTTCATGCCAGTTAAGTCCCACGAATTGAGATACATACTCTTGTCCATGACCGTATGTATTGTACAGACAACCAGTTTGGTGTTGGCAGCAGAATTCTTCCAACCATCGATCAAAAGTACACCCATTGTTTCATGGTCTTTCATGGTTTTAGATGTTATTTCATTGTGAACCTTGTCTAATAATTGATTC